CGGAAGACCCTTTTGCATGGTGCAGGTTTATTTGGGATATCCCATGCATGGGGGGGGGAAGGAAGAAAGGATAAGTTTGGGGTGGGAAGAGGGGCTGGAGTAGGACTTTGGACCTGGTTTAGGTTACTGGGGTGTGTGAGGATTCTCCCGTTGTAGAGGGGATAGGGTATTCCTCATCTTCCTCTGACAACGGAAGTTCCTCCTCCGAGAAGTGGCCATCAACCTTCTCCGAGGATATACACCCTTCCACGGTTGGGGTTTGGCCCTCCGTGCCCTTCACAGTCGAGGAGCTAGTCTTCGGCTGAGGTTCCTGTGAGGTAGAGGCTGGAGGATATGTCTCCATTTTCTCTACCTGTTTAGCTTGGTCTCTTCTTAGACCTGATACCGGTGTTGTCCCGAATCTATAGTAAAGAGTGTATCCCTCTTTCTCTATTGCCTCCTTGGATTTGAGGTCAATTCCTATTGTGAGGACTTGGCCGTGAGAGGACCCATATGTTGGACATGAATCCTCTTGTTGTAGAGACTATAATATATGTCTAATGGTATGTTGATATTTATTTGGCTTGTTTTATTTTAGGCAGGGTCGAAAATATTTTGAATACGAATCCGAAATGGGCGAAATTTTAGACAAAAAAAAGGAATGTTAAGCCTGAATTACTCTTGGATTCAGAGACAATAGTACATAACTTAGACATTGAAGAAAATGTAGAAGGAGATAATGATATTAAAAACAAAGAAAATATACCTGTACAACATACACCAGTCAACAAAAAACTGCCAACCAATGATACACCCAAGAATAACAGAACAAATATAATGAAAAAAAAACAACGATAGAGAAAATCAGGCTTGATCGCAAGACATATTATGAGAAAAGATTAAAAATTGAGAGAGAAAAATTAGAGGAAATAAAGAAAAGAAATGCAATTCTTTTAGAAAGAAATGAGATATTAGAAATAAGAATTGCCACTGCCATAATTTATAATTACTTAATTTTTCTAGTCGAATACCGTTTTTTTTTCATTAGTTGTACTTGTATGTAGCTGTAACTTATGTTCCTATAGTTTTAAGTTTAGATTTTTATTTTTCTTGTTGGATACCGTTCTTTTTTTCTTTATTTATGTTCCTACTTATGTTCCTATAGTTTTAAGTTTAGATTTTTTATTTTTCTTGTTGAATACCGTTTTTTTTTCTTGTTGTATTTATATGTAGCTGTAACTTATGTATAAGGGGATAAGTATGCAGCAACAGTGGGAGGAAGCAGCGCGCAATAGAACGCAATGGAGGAGAATTGTAAATTCAGTTAATAACGACAACCAAAAAGTAAAGAGGCAACAGAGTAATGAGATTTTTGAATGTCCGGAGTGCGGAAGAGAGATAACATGACGTATCGGGCTTTTCAGTCACAGAAAAGCTCATGACAGAAAACGCCTTGCGTAACCATCGTCTGATGCGTGTCAAATACTCGTCAGCGAGTAATGGCAGTAAGTAAGTAAGTAAATTATGTTTCTATAGTTTTAGTTTAGATTTTTATTTTTTTGATCGAATATCCTTTTTTTCTTGTACTTAATATGTAGCTTAACTTATGTTCCTATAGTTTTAAGTTCAGATTTTTTATTTTTCTGGTCGAGTACCGTTTTTTTTTCTTGTATAACTATTATAGTTATACGAGATATATATTCTTGTGTAACTATTATTATAAATAAAATTAATGTTATATATAATATATTTTATAAATAATTTATACATTATTATAGAATTTTTCTCAATAATGTACCTATGTAGCAGATTTCACTCTCCATATAGGTATCACAGAAGAAGTAATAACTATCACGACCTGTCTTTACCTAGATATACACTGACCAATCTGCTACATGGGTGCTATAGAGCTAATCTTTTTGTGATTTATTAGATCTGACTGATACTAGTGATAACAGATGTTACTTGGCTTTTATGTTGTTTTGTAAGATTATTTATTTACCTAATATTCTTTATATTGACTAAATAATAAGGTAAAAGAAGGTACAATAAAATGAAAAACATTTTTTTTATTTATTGAGAACAAACCTACACTTTTAAAAATATGTAAGAGTTGTCATTTATATAATGCGACAATTTTGCACCTTTTCCAGAGTCAAACTATAACCTATAACATATTTACAGATACATATAAATATATAAACAACAATTACATATATATTTAAAAATAACGAATTCTTAACGGAAGTTTAAAGCTACCATAATATAAAGGTGTTGCAAAAATTATAGTTTATATTGCTAAGGCATTTGCCACTCTATCTCTGATGACAGCAATTCCGACATATATTTCAGCATCAGCTCAATAATCGTCCTCTTCATCATGTCGTTCTGCTACCGAATGGAAAAGATCGAATATTTTCCAAATGTAAAATCGATCAAATTATCGAAATCGATAAGCCAAGCCTAATAAAAATACCAGAGAAATGTGAAATCGAAATAAACAAGAAGTATTTCAATGATGTTCAAATTGAAGAAGGAAAACCACTTCTATCATCGATCAAATTTGAACAATACACTAAATACATTAAATAATTATTATGAAACAATCAATGTTTCAAGAATAAATATGGAAGAAATTTATCAACTTCGAAAAATGGCTAATCAATTGATTCCAGTATCAGAATAAAGCCTAGCAGAAAAATCAACGCCTATTATAACCATCATCTTGTTTGTTATGGTCATCCTCACTCTGGTATTCGTCTTATACAAGAACAAGAAGATCTTCAACCCTATTTTGGCTCGACTGAAGAAAACTGCCCCTACGAAGAAAGAAAATCAACCCGAAGAGGTCCAACCAAAAGAAAGCCCCCATTTTCTTTTGTCTTGAGGAGGGAGGAGTTCACGGATTCCTGCACACCTACTAAAAAGATCAGGCCATCCTGATGGGAAGATGCGGTCCTTTCCACGAGCACCTGTACCAAGCTGAGGAGACTCTTTTCTCACATTTTAAATTTTCCATTGTCTTTGCTCTTACTGTAAACACCTTGTATTTTATTAAATAAAATTAAAATTTATTTTTTAAAAAGACTCTTTTTTCTTGAAACGTAACACTGTTGGCCATGGTTGTTGTTTAGTCTCAAGTATTAAATTATGAACTTTGCATTTTTTGCACAGTTTGCAATACTCTAGATCAGATCATCATTCTTCACAAAGATGGCAAACAAACTAGTTGCAATTGTAAAGCCACATAGTATCAACGGTAAAGTAGACTGTGTGCGGTGTTCACACAGAACAGAAAAAATTAGCATAGTTGGTCTGTGTGAAAAATGCACAGTCATACACATCTCAGCAGCAGCAGCGGCAGCAACAACACAAAGACCTTCAAGATATTAGTATACCATACCTAGTGGTATAGAAGACATCATCCATATGGTGAGATGAGAGAGAGAGAGAGAGATGTGTTAAAGGCGCATCGACTGTAAAGTCTTTTAGCGTCACTTTATCCCATCATTTATATATTTTTATATATGTCGATATCCTTTATATAATCCAACATAGCCTGGTTATTTTGGAAGGAAAGGGCTACCTCAGGGTTATCCACGATACCGTGTTGTGTTCGTTTTAACGCGTACTTTGGGCATTCAAAGATAACGTGTTTGACAGATATTGGAAGATTACATGTTCACAAATGGGCTGATTCTGTCCTTTAAGGAGGTGTTCATGGGTAAGTTTCGAGTGTCCTAAACGAATTCTAGTGAGCACAACGAAATCTCTTCTAGGTAAGTTAACTACATTATTTTCAAAATAGTCCCTTTTGATTTCATGAAGCTTATTATCATTCATGTCTAAGTCCCATTCTAGTTGGATTATATTATCTTATAGATATAGATATTATTATATTTGTTTTTGTATGTTAGGATGATACATATGGCTATTGTGTACGCTATTTAGAATGTGTGTAAAATCTATGTTTGAAACTATCATCTGTATATCGTTAGAAATAAAATTTATTTCATTTTTAATTTGAAAAATGAGATATCTATGATATTGAATTCTTTCTCTTAAAAATTAATTAAAAATTAATTCTTTTTTAAAATTAATTCTCTTAAAAATTAATTCTTTTTTCTTTTTTATTAATAAAAAGTAAAAAAAAGTTTTATGATCAAGTAGGCTTTGAACCCAAAACTTCCTTTAATACTTATTATTTATAAATCAACATGTAAAACTCACTTGACCATAAAACTTTTAGTTAAACAGTGTATATATTTTTTTTAAATAGTCAGCTTACAGTATTTCCTCCATTTGTGATATTAATATTTCTTTAATTTTTTTTTCTAATAATACGGTTGACGAAATTAACTGAAATTGACCTTTTCAAAATTTACATTGGATTTACTATGTCCCATGTTCTGATGCACCACAGGGTATATAAGCAAAATTCTACATTACGTTGATGTTTTCAAATACTATTTATAAAGACTGCTTAGGGATATTTCTAAGATTCCTGAGTAAATTCGTATTGTATTTACATTGTGCTTCTCCATTTTAAAGTGTTTAAAAAAATAATATTTTAATGGCACACGTATATTGATATGCATATAGTTAATTTAATTAATAATTATATTAACAAGTTCACTGCCAACCCCGCATATACGCGGGGATGGCGTCGCGCGCAGTGTGCCAGTCCCGCATATGTGCGGACCACGTCGCACAGTGTATTATATATTGGTGAATGCGCTGGTATACATATTGTAATAGAAGGTATTGTGAGTTGCATAACATCGCCTTTTAGTTTAGTGCTGTTGCTGTTGTCTTTGGCATAGTCATGTTGAGAATATAATTATTAACAAAACCCTTTCGAGAGTTGTTTTATTGCAGCCTGATAATACATGGTGTCAGGTGTGAATCCTGTGTATTAGTCTGGGTATTAAGCAAAGTAAAAAAAAAATGAATTCTTGCTACGAGTAAGTTGTTTTTTTGGATTTGAAGATTTCCGCAAGTGCGTCAGCCATACAAACAAAATGGAGTCAGTCTTTAGGATTCCAGAACCTTTGAATTTTGATGGTGTATTGGCGGATAACTGGAGGAGATTCAAACAGAGATTTGATTTATATTCTGAAGCGACAGACCTTCCTCAGAAAGGAAATAAGAAACAAGTTGCGATATTTTTAAATCTGATAGGAGAAGAAGGTCTGGAACTCTTTAACTCCTTCTCATTAACTGATGCTGAAACCGAAGATTTGAAAAAGGTCGTTGAAAAGTTTGAAGAATATTGTAGTCCTAGAAAAAATATTATATTTGAAAGATACAGATTCAATTCCATTATACAAAATGATGGTCAATCATTTGATTCTTTTTTGACTGAGTTGAGGAAAGCGGTCAAAACGACAGAATATGGAGAGCCCGAACAAATGATTAGGGATAGGATTGTTATTGGAGTGTCAAACAAACTTACACAAGAAAGGCTACTGAGAGAATCTGATTTGACGCTTGAAACGGCTATAAAAATTTGTAGAGCTGTTGAGATCAGCAAATCACAGAGCAAAGCCCTTCAAAATGAAGCATCTGTAAGTGCAGTAACTACTAAAGATAAAGTAAAAAGAAGCCAATCAGAAAAACAGATTATGTGTAGCTATTGTGGGTACAATCATGATAGAGGCAAATGTCCAGCTTTTGGGAAGAAGTGTACCAAGTGCAAGGGTAAAAATCACTTTGCAGCAGTGTGTAAGAAGAAAGAAAAAGACACTAACAAGAATAGAAAAAAAAAGTCAATGAAGTCTCAAGAGATGTGGACCTGTCAGAAAGTTCAGAAGAGAGTGAGTTCTATTTAAGTGCCTTGGTAAAAAGTGTTAGTTCAGTGAACCAGAATAGCAGAGAGATGTGGTGTGAGGACATCATTGTTGAAAATAAGAAGATACAATTCAAGCTCGACACTGGGGCTGAGGTCAATGTATTGCCAATTGAATACCTGGAGAAGATTGGGAAGGTAAGAAACCTGTTAAAGACTAATATCACGTTAGTATCTTATGGCAGTTCAAATTTTAAAATTAAGCCGAGAGGTGAGGTTATTTTAAACTGTTCTATAAATAGTAAATGTTCAAAATTGTCATTTGTTGTAGTTGAGGGCAAGAATCAAATGCCACTGTTAGGTTTGTTAGGATGTACAGATTTAAATCTTTTGAAGAGAATTGATAAATTAGACATTCAGTTTAAATCATTAAACAAAGTTATTTCGTTGTATCCTAATGTATTTTCGGGGCTTGGTGAATTTCCAAAGAAACATAAAATTGTTTTAGAGGAAGGTTATGTTCCACATATACAGCCAGCAAGACGAGTTCCTCAGGCTCTGCATGAGAGGTTGAAATCCAAACTAGCAGAATTAGAAGAGCAGAAAGTCATTAAAAAAGTACAGAATCCAACAGAGTGGCTTAATCCATTGGTAATAGTTGAGAAGAAAAATGGTGATCTCAGATTGTGCCTTGATCCAAAATTTTTGAATAAATATATAAAGCGTGAGCATTTTTTGATCCCAACATCAGAAGAAATAGCTAGCAAATTATCAAACAAAAAATTCTTTTCGGTACTGGATATGAAAGATGGTTACTTTCAAGTGAAAATAGATGATGAATCTTCAGAGTACTGTAGTTTTGCTACTCCATTTGGGCGTTATAAGTTTTGCAGGTTACCATTCGGTATAAGTTCTGCCCCTGAAGTATTCCAAAGAATGAATTTTGAAATTTTTGGAGGCATCGAGGGAGTAGATATTTATTTTGATGACATTATCATCACAGGTGCAACTGAAGAAGAACATGATCGAAACTTTAAACTTGTTCTTGAGAAGGCTTTGAAATACAACATAAAGTTTAACAAAAAGAAAATTCAATTTAAACAGGAACAGGTAAAATTTATGGGCCAAATTTTTTCAGAAAAAGGAATTCAACCGGATGAGAATTATATAAAAGCTATTCTAGATATGCCAAATCCACAAAATAAAACAGATTTACTGAGATTACTTGGAATGGCTAAGTATCTGGGCAAATTTATCCCAAATTTGTCCAAAGTTACGTCAGTGTTAAGAGAATTAACAAGAAAGGATAGACAATGGAACTGGTCTAAAGAACATGATGAAGCTATAAACGCTTTAAAAACGTTAATGACTAAAGCACCCGTGTTATCATTTTTTGATCCATCTACACCAATAGAGATTGAAAATGATGCATCGAAGGATGGATTAGGATCTTGTATGTCTCAGAACAATCATCCTGTAGGATTTGCTTCCAGAAGTCTAAGTAAAACAGAAATTAGATACTCACAAATTGAAAAAGAGCTATTGGCAATTGTGTTTAGTGTCCAAAAGTTTCATTATTTTATATATGGTGTACGTAATGTCACAATTTACTCTGATCATAAGCCGCTTGAGGCGATTTTCAAAAAAGATTTAAACTCTGTACCACCTCGTTTGCAAAGAATGTTATTTAAAATTATGCCTTATGATATAAAAGTTGTTTATAAGCCAGGTAAATTTTTATATGTTGCTGATACCTTATCTAGAGCATCTTTAGCTAATGTAGATACAAAATTAGAAGTAGATTTATCAACTGTTGTACATTCTATAGAAAAATATTTACCAAAGTCAAATGAAAAAAAATCAGATTTTAAAAAGGCTACGTTAAATGATTCGGATTTACAGACAATTGTAAAATATCTTGTTGATGGTTGGCCAGAAAATAAAAAAGTTTTATCACACTGTGCACGAAATTTCTTTAAAATAAAGGATTCCCTTTGTGTATCCGACAATTTATTGTTTTTTAATAATAAACTAGTAGTTCCTTATAGTTTAAGAAAGGAGATACTGTTAAAATTACATGAAGGTCATATTGGAATCGATAAAACAAAACATAGAGCACGTGAAATCTTTTATTGGCCAGGCATGAGTCAAGATATAGAAAATTTTATTAAGCAGTGTAAAATTTGTGAAAAATTTTGTAGAAGAAATTGTAAAGAGACGATTATTCCCTATGAAATCCCTTCACGACCTTGGGAAAGGTTAGGTACTGATATTTTTACATATTCAAATCAATCATATTTAGTTATAATTGATGCCTACTCTAATTGGCTAGAGGTAGTCCCTATAAAGGATAAATCAACTTTAGAAGTTATATCTAAATTTAAACTCATATTTTCTACTTTTGGGTGCCCTGATACTTTAATCAGTGATAATATACCTTTTGGAAGTTGTTTGTTTAAGGAATTTGCAAAAAATTGGAATTTTAACATTATTACACGTAGCGCAAATTATCCAAGATCAAATGGATTAGCAGAAAAGGGTGTAGGCATAGCTAAATTACTTTTAAAAAAATCTATTGAGGAAGGAAAAAGTATGTGTGAGGCATTATTACAATATAGGAACACCCCATTAAAAACAATTAATTATTCCCCGTCTCAATTATTAATGTCACGTATTTGTAAGACGAAATTACCTATTAGTGCAGAACTCTTGAAACCAACATTGTGCACAGGTGTATATAATAAACAAAAAATTAGACAAGTTAATAATAAAAATTATTTTAATAAGCACACAAAAGATCTTAAAGAATTATCACCTGGACAGAATGTTGTGATATTTAATCCAGTTAAGAATTATTGGGAGTCAGGAAAAATTGTAAAGTTAGATAACAAACCAAGATGTTATAAGGTATTAGATAAGTTAGGTAACATTGTGAGCAGGAATAGAGTGGACATCAAAGAATCAGCTAATGAATATAGTGAAGATACTTTCGAAGATTTCACTGAACAAGTTGTGAAACAAAATAGTCCACCACCTTGTTCGAGTGTCCAGTCTAATCCTGAACTACCTCAAAATCTCCCTAAAACTAGGTCTGGCAGATTTATTAAAAAACCATTAAAATTAAATTTATAATTTTAATATTTTGTTTGGGGAGAGGGGAGATGTATTATATATTGGTGAATGCGCTGGTATACACATTGTAATAGAAGGTATTGTGAGTTGCATAACATCGCCTTTTAGTTTAGTGCTGTTGCTGTTGTCTTTGGCATAGTCATGTTGAGAATATAATTATTAACAAAACCCTTTCGAGAGTTGTTTTATTGCAGCCTGATAATACACACAGTAGGCGAAGGCGGATGATACGGCGAGACAAAAACCTAATTTTTAAGCCCCTTTTCAAGACTTTATTACTGAATTAAAGTTAAAAAACCTTATCATGCTCGGTACATCTCGAAATAATTTCGTAGTAGGCTTTGAGCATACCATAAACAATTGAAAGTGTGAGCAACATTTTGTACTCGAGCGAGCGTCTATTTTGCATGTACAGGCGAAACAAATTTGACACTAATTTTTGAGAGAAGTTATTTTTAAAATAAAACATATTGTGATGATTGAATACAATAGAGGTAAGTTAGCTTCAGATCATTGTATATTTTAATTATTATAGTGGTTGCTTAGTTTACACTCTTGCCTTATTGAACTGATATATAATTACTTATTTTTTAATAATTTTGCCAATAATTGACAGAGGTGGAAATACAAAGTAATCCAAAGTACTATTTAATTCAAATTTTAAATAAAACTTTATAAAAGACTTCGACATAATGTCAAGATCACTTGCCCGTTCTTCCATTTCCGTCCGTTTAGCCATTTTTTAACGATATTTCACTGTTGCTGCAATGAAGCTAGTCAAATCTTTTAGTGCATTTGTAAAAGGAATAAATTCATAACTTTCGAACGAAAGCAGATATGAACATGCGGTTTTCAGATTTATGATTAGTAAAATATGTTCTACTTTTTAATATGCTTTTTTTAATAGTAGTAATAAATATAAATTATCTGTATAAAGTAAATAGAGTTAGATAGAGTGATTTTTTTTCGCTTTTGTAGTTTATAATATAATATTAGTTTACTTTAAATTTAATATTATACTTTTATTTAATAATTTTATTTTTTGTTATTATTTAAACTTTGTACAGGGTTCATTTATAATGTGACCCCCCTAAACTTCTTTGTTTTTCGCATTAGAAAAAAATGTTCTAGACAAAAGTTGTAGGGTTAAATGTGAACTATTTCCACAATTATGTTATAACAATTTTAAAACCTTCACAAAATTTTAATTCCGTTTTATATAATTATTCACAGGCGGATATTTCCGAAATTATTTAATTTAAGCATATGTCATATTATATAAAAAGTACTTAAAATTTTGTGAAGGTTTTAGAAATGTAATAATATACAGGGTGTTCCATTTAAAAATATTAATTTAACTTTATAAAATTTGACCTGTCACACGTTTACGCAAGACTCTGTATATGAAAAAGTATAAGCTGCAAATAGTTTACATTTAACCCTATAGTTTTTGTCTATAACATTTTTTCTAATGCGAAAAACAAAGAAGTTAAACGGGGGTACATTACAAATGAACACCCTGTGCTTCAGGACTATTGGAAAACGCACAGATTATTTTCAATAAAAATTTTTGGGGAACAGATGAGCAGAAATAGGTTTTTGCTAATAATGAGATGTCTTCATTTTACCTCAGATACAGAAAGTGAAGACACTTTGTATAAAATTCATAGTGTTATTGATTATTTTAATAATAAAATGAACCACTGTTATTATCCTGCAAAAGAGTTGTCATTGGATGAAAGCATGGTTCTGTGGAGAGGCCGTTTGAGGTTCAAACAGTTCATCAAAAATAAGCGACATAAATACGAGATTAAACTTTACGTGTTGACTGAGCCTGATGGGCTCATACTTAGATGATAAGGAAGTTACGGGGAAGGGCCACGCAGAAAAGGTAGTTATGCAATTACTAGAAGATAAACTTCAGAGTGGCCACTAAATATATCAATATACATGGATAACTATTATAACAGATTTACTTTGGCCAAGCGACTATTAGATAACACTTACTTCATAGGAACTTTACGGAAAGATCTAAAGGAAAACCCACAAGAAGTTATCCAAAAAACACTGAAGAAAGGCGAGAACATGTCGCTTTTTCAAGAAGGAATACAAATAGGCAATAAACGTCCCGTAATGTATATAACCACAGAGTTTGAAGACAGAAAGGTACCGGTTACAAATAAAGGAGGACAAGTTGCTGAAAACCCCGAAGCTATTGCGAAGTATAATCAGTACATGTCTGGAGTTGACAGACAAGACCAACTTCTTGCGTTCTATCCTTGTGAAAGGTTGTGAAGTGTTCTACTGGAACAGCTCCGTCAATTCTTTACGAATAAGCAAACATCCTTTCACCAAGCAGTCTGCAAACCTAATAAAAATTACACACCCCTAGATTTATCTCTAACTAGTCATCCTGCAGACGCATTTACTTCTACACAAAATATGACAGATAAAATTAATACTTAGACAGCGAAACAACTACATGGAAAACACAGATATAATATGCAACGCGAACACATATCAAAAGAACTTTCTTACAAATGGCTAGAAATCGGAAATATTTTCCCGGAGACAAGAGGATTTATCTTGGCAGTGCAGGATCAGGTAATCAATCAAGCAACGCGCAATTACCTAAAATATATTATATTGTATTGTAGACCCAACCGTACAGACCGATACATGTAGAGAATGCCACCAATTTAAGGAAACCATCGACCATATAACCAGCGGATGTAAAATTTTAGCAGGTACAGAATATACAGAAAGCCATAATATGGCAGGCAAAATTATACATCAAGCACTCGCAAACACATATAAACTCACCACAGACGTAACACCATACTACAAATATTCACCAACTACTGTTATAGATACAAATGATTACAAATTTTATTGGGACATAACAATCCGCACTGATAAAAAAATTACATGTAATAGACCAGACATCGTTTTCCAAAACAAGAAAGAACAAATCACCTATTTAGTAGACATATCCATACCGAATGACTCCAATATTCAAACGAAATATAATGAAAAAATTGAAAAGTACACAGATTTAGCTACATAAATACAAAGACTTTGGAAGCAGAGAAAAGTAGTCGTTATTCCCTTTATCATTTCTACTACCGGGATCACTCCACACACATTCAACACACATCTCAAGCAACTCGGACTAAACTCCACCTTACACGCGAATGTTCAAAAATCTGTTATCCCAAAAACATGTAATATAGTTCGATCATTCCTAAATTCAAACAATAGACTCTGAAGCGACTTGGCACAGTCCGTCACTTCAGAACAAACAATCACTTTGTTTGAACAAGTGAGAAGAAAGAAAAAGAAAATAATAATTATAATTTGAGAAAAAAAATTCTACCTCAGGTCAGGCTGCATACAAAAACACATGCTCCATATGCTCCACTTGCTTCACCAATTATTGTTGTTGGCATCTGGCCATATTAGCAAAAAAACTCCGAAAAAATGTTCTACCTCAAGTCAGGCTGCATACAAAAAAGCATGCTCAATATGCTCCACCTGCTCCACCAATATTTCTTATTTCGCATGCGCGCCGCGACGTCACACCGGAGCTATTGGAGCATACGGAGCATACGATTTGTCATGTGGGTATTTTAGCGTTCTCGTTGAGCACAAAAATAAAAACAAACAAAAAAAAGTTTGTCGTAATTGGTATTTGAACCTGGCTTACCAGCTTACCACGTTGCAATGCAACGCCTGAACAGTCTCGCTATCGAGGACTTGAAAGCTTTAATAAACTTTGTAATACTAGTACTCGAATTTTTTAATTATAAACATTCTTTATTAATTTATGTTTTTATTATTTGTTCTTAAAGCGGCACAACAAATACATAATCTGTGAAAATTTGAAGTGTCTAGTTAAAACAGTGTATGAGATAAAGCTTGGGGACAGACGGACTTGACGGATAGACGGACGACGGCGAAGTCTTAGTGGATGGTTACATTGGATGCGGATACGTGCGATTTTTTAGTCTTGCGACGTCGTACGATGTCGTACAATGTCGGAAGTTCAAACAAACTTATTAATTTAAGGTTATGTGGTTACATTACCTGCGTTTTAGGCGGCTATCACACCAGCAATACGCGACGGCGACGATACCGCGACGATATTGAAATGATAGCGACTTGTCGGCGACCAGTTCCTACGAAGACACTACACCACGGCTACGCTACCGCTACGTAACTTTAGTATCAAAAACAAAAAACTGGTATTCAGTGTTCATCATGTCTTCATCAAGTGAAGATGAAGCAGTCGTAGTGGCATTGTATTATTTAAGAAAGCGAAGGCGCAGATTTTGGGTTCACCCTTATATTACAAATAACTCTCATCGAACAGCCTTTATTTGCGCAAGAGAATTATTATATGACGAAAATAAGTTTCAGTCATTTTATCGAATGTCAAAAGAAACATTTAGGTTACTAGTCTGCATAACAGGTCCCGCCATTCAGAAATTGGATACAGAGATGTGTGAGTGCTGAAGAACGATTACTAATAACTTTGAGGTGAGTTTATTTATAATATATTTATAAAAAATATTACCTAATACAATGGTGTACTTACGCTAATAATATTAAAAAATAATAAAGGAAAGTTAAGAATAAGGAAGCTGAGTTAGTGAAGTGCTAGGGCCAGCAAGTAGGTCATACTAGTTAGATCGTGTGGTAGGTACGTGGATTGATGAAGTAGAAGATGGATTACAATATTGCAGAAACGTGGACTCAGAAGGTACCGAATAAGGTGAGGAAGGGCTGGTAAGAGGAGTATATATTTGGGTTGATGCAACAGAAAGTGGATGAGAATAGTGCAGAAGCGAGGACTCAGAAGGTGAGAAATAAGGCAAAGAAGGGCTGTTACGAGGAGTAGATATTTTGGTTGATGCAACAGAAGGTGGATTAGAGAAGTGCTGAAGCGAGGATCCAGGAGGTAGCGAATAAGGTAAAGGACTGTTACTTAGCGTATCAATTATCTCGAAGACTTTACGCTTAAACTGCCTGAAAGTGGTTTCTGGGATCTCGTTGACTTCTGGCAGTAGGCTTTCCAAAAAATTGTCTTCGAGGATTGGCTGATGTTTCAGAAACACTGACCTTTCTCTTCTTTGCGTCGAAAAAATCCATGATTGATTTGTCAACTGTCTTTAAATTTTCGTATTTTCGTTTTCTTTGTATAGGTTTAGGAATAATAGAGGTGGTGGGAGAATCAGTATCTTGTTCCTTTCGACTAAACTGTGATCCTGTTCCGCCATTTTGTCGTTTTCCACAACCTGTTCCACGATAGTATCGCTGGCAGGTGACAATGGGGGCGGCAATACATTACCTTGCCCTGTATTTTGAGTTTTAATTAAAGGAACAATAAATTCCATATATTTGTTTAAATAATATGGCTTTCCTTTCTTTCCTGGTCCACTAGGGGGTAGTTTTCGCTTGCGTACAAAGATAGACGTTAAATTCTTCCATTTGTCTTTTGCCAATGACACTGAAAAAAAATTCACAGATTTTGCAACATGCGCAACCATCATAGGCGTATTGAAAATACCAGACACAAGTCGGCGGTTGTCGGCAATCACCTGTTTTTTTTTACATTTTATATTAATTTGTGACGTCATTTGGAAGAGCTCAATAGAAATATAAAAGAACTAAACCTTGTTTGAAAAGCAATTTGACATTCGTGACGTCAGCACTCCGGCAGTCTATGGTGCGTCCAGACCTGACGAGCCGAGCGCGAGACGAGAGCAAGACAAGAGCGAGACAAGAGCGATACGAGAGCGAGACATTTTCTATCCATTTTTTACGCAAACCTGCCACGAGACAAGTCGAGTGGGATCATAGTGAAAGGAAGCCAAACACATATTAAATTGCAAGTGAATATATATAACAAACGATGGCCAAATAATAACGCATACAGTAATAAATTTTTGTATCTTTAATATGGTATTCGGTCTTTAACATGGTGTTCATCGTCGGTTTTCCCCCTTTTGGCTGTTTTCCCCTTTATCCCTTACACGACGTTTTTTACATAATAAGTTTTTTAATGTTTTTAGAACAAAATGTTAAATAGAAAAGTTATTGGTAAACTTAAGAAGCACATTTTAACATTGCTATAGAGTATACAGGGTACGTCAAAAAAGTGTTGCGGATATATAAGTTGCAGATAGCCGAGAGGAAGCCAAATACATATTAAATTGCAAATGAATATAACAAACGATGGCCAAATAATAACGCATACAGTAATACATTTTTGTATCTTTAATATGGTATTCGGTCTTTAACATGGTATTCATCGTCGGTTTTCCCCTTTATCCCTTACACGACGTTTTTTACATAATACGTTTTTTAATGTTTTTAGAACAAAATATTAAATAGAAAAGTTATTGGTAAGGTTAAGAAGCACATTTTAACATTACTATAGAGTATACAGAGTACTTCAAAAAAGTGTTGCGGATATAACATATTTTCTAATGGGAATACCCTATTTTTTATTTTATTATTGGGTTATACATACGTACAATTCGGTAACTTTTCTTGGATTTTTTGATATTATATATCTAAAATTAATAGATGTTGTAATAATTCAATTTGTTTAAAGAAATGTTGGATTTCGGTAGGGTAAAAATTATCAGTGACGCAAAATTTTGAAATTCTATCAGAAAAAATGATAATACATACGGTGTACGATTTAAAAATTTGAGATTACTTAATTTTAAATAGTCGAAATTTATAAATCAGACCTAATATCTCGCAGTCAGGCGAGCCTACCAAAAACACGTCCAAACTTTCGAGCTTTCTTTGATCGGCCGTTGAAAAACCGACAGGGGACGGATAGCTCCGCGGGTTGACTCGCGAGGCTCCGCGAGACTCGTCCACACAGCGAATTTGGAGTGTCTCGCGCTCGTCTCCATAGGTCTGGACGCACCATCGTATCACTGATCGCCATTCGCAAATATATTCCAGATACGTATAGTGAACAAGTTCGCAACGTTAAATAATTTTGATATTTAATTTTTATCGTGATGGCTTTTTATGAAAGTGTATATATAGAATAAATTGCATTAATTTGCAATACCACCTCGAACCCACAGTTTTGTTATGGAGCCAGATTAAACCAATCATAATGAGTATTATGTTACCGTAAAAGCCCGAATATTGGTTAAACGTAGAGTTGCCCACGTAGGAGCCCGAAGTATACCAAAAAGTGGGTCGGTTCGGTTAAGTTTAGACTAGATATTTTTATTAATTCAAGACCAACTAAAGCCTAATTCTAATCTAACCTAAACTCACCCCTTCTTTTGCATATTTCCGGCTATTACCTGGGTATTCCTAGGTTTAATTAATATTCGAACTTACGGTGTAAATTTATGGAGGTCCCATAAATTTAAATTCGCCGTACAACAAAATTTCAGCAATTTTCTCAATAAAAATTATAAATCATAGTATTTTTTATAGAAATGATGGAATAAGGGTGAACGGGGTGCCGGTAAACCAAGAAGATACTTGGAATGTAAGTGTTAATTTATACTCGAATTGAATTGCCTCACAGTATAGGCATATTTTGAACCCTTACCGTACATATAGTTACTGTAGATAAAAATAAAATAAAATATAGTTGGCTCCAACGATAATTTAGTTTCCAGCTTCTTTTCATCATACCTAATAAAAAAACCGTGACAACCACTACTTATAGTATGTACCTACATATGTATTTTTTAAACACCATTATGAAATTTAAGTATAAAAAGGTGCCCATAATGTGAGTAACGGTATTGATGGTTTTTTGTTATGAGTAAAATAAGCAGCAAAATATATTATCGATTGCAGCAACTATGTATACCTAGTTTACATTCAGTATGTCCAATTAATATGGAATATTATACCTATACATGCTTTTAAACATTTGCTATCATTATATTTTGATAGTTGAGTTTTTGAAATTATTTGTTAGCTTCTTAAACAAAACAGACCCATAATAATTAAAATCTTTATCATCCAAGACTTTCAAGAATTATGAAGTAATCTCACGTCAATTTTTTTTTAAATTATTGCATGCCTTAAGTATTTGCAAAGTTAACAAAAATATTTCTTTGCATACCTTGCAATTAATATATTTGGTCTAATTTATCAGTTCTGCATCATATCCGAAATTCAGATTGTGTGTGACACAACGAAGACTCAACGTGCAACGTGAAAGACAAGAAAAATGGCAAGTAAAAAAATGTAAAGTTTTAATTACTAATTACACAGTCCTTCCATTGAGTTCTTCTGCCTAGAATCTATATTGCCTCCCTAAGATTTTAAATATAAATGATTGAAACTCATAGCAAGTTTACCACAATTTAAACTTAAGATAATTATTTAATTATTAAATCCATAATTATATTAAAATATAACACTTACGAAGTTAATAAATATTAACTATTTTTATTTAATCATTTAATAATTATTCTGATAAAAACACGCTTGAATTTTTATTTTAGAAATCATACAGGCTATAATCATTAATATGACTATATTAACAATACTTAAATTAAAATTTATTTGAAGGAATGCTACTTGAAGTATTAACTCGGAAATAATTATTAAAAACTGCTCATCGCGTTATCGATGTCGGCGTCTTGTCACTGTTGTCTGGCTGATTGGCCGTTTAGATACCTATAGTTTGATTTCAGATAATGCAGATTTTAATGTGCCATTTGTGGATTTTTTATTGGAATTTTTTTTACATATTTGGTATACTCTATGAAGTGCGCATGTCCATTTTTCAATTATTAAAGAGCGTTTTTAGATACATTTAAAATTAATCAATTATAGTAATTGAATTATGGGTTTGTTTATTTTTTATGAAATGTATTTTTTTTTTCTATTAAAATAAACATAGCTTTACTTACAAAATCATTAGCTAGCCATTTTTAAATACAGGGTGTTAATTAAGTAGTATCTGGCCAACTTCAGGAGGTGATTCTTTCCGTGTTTTTAAGGTAAAAAGTTAATTTAAACATGTGTCCGGAAATGCATAATTTTAAAGAAACAGGGTGTCAAGATGTTTCCTAATAGACATTTTTTTATTAATATCTCAAAGACCCGTTGGCCGATTTTATTGAAATTTCGCCGTGTTGTGAACTTTGATAAGTTAGCACTAATTAAATGATAATAATTATTATTTACAACAATATTCAAACGGTAAAAACTTATCAACTTATCCCAATAAATATTTGACAACACCTTTGATTCATTTGTTTTAACGTCTGTTGGCGGTGGAAACCATGCAAGCTTTTTCTTTGTCCTAAGTTGTTAATTAAAAAAATAATAATCATATAAAAAAATATGATAATTAGTCTAAATTTATTATTTATGTGATTCTGCTCTTTCTCGTATAATTTGTCCCTTACGGAAATAGTTAGATTAAAATAGCCAAACTGTACCTAACAACCCATGCCTTAACATATTTTCTTTTAAAATAATATCGCTTTCTTTATCCGCCGGTCCAGATTTGAACGGCCTTGCCCTGTTCGCTCATCAATGCAGGCTCTATCGACATAAGTACGTGTTGACAGGCAGGTTATTGAACCCATGTTGCGTCTAGCATGTCGTTTTTTCAAAGATGGGTCCCATATAAACGCGGCCAGAAGTATTTTCAATACTAAATACTTTATTTATGTGATTCTGCTCTTTCTCGTATAATTTGCCCCTTACTTCTCATACGGAAATAGTTAGATTAAAATAGCCAAACTGTACCTAACAACCCATGCCTTGACATATTTTCTTTTAAAATAATATCGTTTTCTTTATCTGCCGGTCCAGATTCGAATGGCCTTGCCAAAGGCCTTGCCCTATTCGCTCATCAACGGCGGCTCTATCGATAAGTACGTGTTGACAGGCAGGATATTGAACCCATGTTGCTTCTAGCATGTCGTTTTTTCAAAGATGGGTCCCATATAAACGCGGCCAGAAGTATTTTCAATACTAAAATAACTACCAATCAAAATATATTGTGCATTTAGTGATTGAGTAGAAGTTGTGAAGAAAATCGTATGAACCGTTTTTTCAAAAAAAAATTTACAAGTAAACTGGTGTTTTACGACTTTTTTCCAAAATCAAAACAGTAGGTTTTAAATAATCTTCTATTCTTTAAATTTTCTACTTTTGGCCAGTTAGTAAGGCCAATATTACGTACTAATTTCAATATTACGTACTAATTTGTGTTTCTAAGCAAATTTAAAAAAAGCCTCTTTACTCTAGAAAAAATTGAAAAAAAAAAAACGATTTTATCCAGTTATATTATTGTAAAACGTGTTGTGTTTATAAAATCTATCAAAAATATTATCATAGAGCGAGAAAGTGTGTGCAGCCTTGTCATATCACTTATTTTAACATTGAAAATGTTTCTGTTATCCTATATAAGGGAACCCAAATCGAATTAAAATGCTACATTTGCCACACCATGACGTCATATATACAAGGGTATAGGAAATCTCGGCGCAG